GATCATTTTTGTCAATGATTTTAAAGAATGTATAGATGATAAACTTGTCATGTTTTCAGATGACACAAATTTGAAAGGGTTAGCTAACAAACTGGATGACGAAATAAGTACCCAAAGTGATTTTAACAGGCTAGAATACTAGGCTGAAGATAATATGATACAATTTAATGGGAATTTGGTTCAAAACAACTTTAAAAGTAAAAGATGAGGGAGGCTTGACTTGGAAGCAGGTCATCGAAAGGATCTGAACATTTTATTGGACTGTAATTTCTGTGTCAGTCAATCATCAATCGTTTATTAAGTGCTTACTGTGTGCTGTGTTATTCCAGTTTCTCCAGGACATCTCAGGCTTGCAACCTGCAAACACTCAGTGCACTCAAAGCAGTCTGATCCCAGACAAGGTGTTATCGCTGCCCTTCTGATTTGAGCTCTCCAAGTTCCAGACCTTGGGGTCTGCACCAACATCACTGAATTTATCCCTGATTTGGAGCTCCAGTAGATTCAACCTCTGTCAACTGGAAAGTTCTATGTGTTCAGAGTAACATAATTTATGGCCCCCCTCCTTTGGTCTGGGCTGTTCTACCCCTGGTTATTCTGTTACAGGCTTCAGACCGGGCTGGAGGCTAGATCCTGTGCCATTCATAGGGTCAGAGTTCCCTGCTTCCATAATTGCTCATTGCTCAGTACACTGTCTGGGGCCCACAATGCTCTTTGCCTGTATAACCACTCCTAAATATGGGTCCCCTCCTTAGCACACATTAGATCTCAGGCCCATCTCAGGCCCACCTCAGGGTATTGAGTGGAAGAGCGACTAGTCCCTGTTGCTGCATCTGCACAAGTTCAGGTCCTTCTGTGCTGGATATAGAACTTCTGCCCTGAGGCACAGAAGCAGGCAGGCCCTCATTTAATTTCTGAACAGGAAGGCTCCATGTGGCCATTCCTGGATAGACCCCCTGTACCTCTCTTGTCTGTCTTCCTTTGCTGCCCTGAGTTGAAAAAATGACTCGTTGTGATTTTTTTTTTGGAGGGGGGGATTTCCTAATCAGGACTTGGTCTGATGCATTTCTGTCTTTATGGAATAGTTGCTGGAGGAGAGTTCAGCTGTAGTGCTTACTTTTATTCCAACATCTTGCCTAGTCTTTTCTTGACTTGACGCTTAACTATAACTCTTATAACTCTCTCACATTTCCATTCAGTTTCCAAGTCCTATTGATTTTATCTCTGATATTGATCCCATCTATCCATTCCTTTGTATTTCTGCAGCCTATCCTAATTCAGTCCTTCATCTATCTTTTTCTCCACTCCTCGTCTTCAATCCGTCTTTCTCATTGCTGCAATAGTAATCTTCCCAGGACATATCTGATCATGTTATTTCTCTTCAGTGGCTCCCCAGGGCCTACAAGGGAAAATAACATCTTCTTAGCCAGCTCTAAACTACTGAAACATTTTATGATGTCTTTTGTTTTTAATGGCTAGGCCTTATAGAGTTCTTTAAGGTGACAGAAATGCTTCATATATGTTATCTCAGTTGATCCTCACAATGACCTGGGAAGTAGGTGCCATTATTCCCCTCCTTTGACTTGCCCAGGATCCTAGAGTTAGCAAGTGTTTGAAACAGGATTCAAAACTCAGCAGTGCTGCCATTTCTAGAAATAGCCCTTCTTCCACATGTAAATTGAACCTTACTTATAACAAATAAAAACAATTCATCTAGGGGCAGCTGGGTGACACAGTGGGTAGAGCTCCAGCCTTGAAGTCAGGAGGACCTGAGTTCAAATCCAGCCTCAGACACTTGACACTTAACCAGCTGACCCTGGGCAAGTCACTTAACCCTGACTGCCTTACCAAAAAGCAGCAAAAAAACATAACAAAAAAAACCAATTAATCCAAAGCAAATGAGGCAAAGGCCACATCTGACAATGTGTGCAACATTTGGTCTTTGTTTTCCAGAGTATCTTTTTAATCTTATTTCACACCATTCCCCTTCACACAGTATGTTCCTTTCAAACGGTACCATTTAGTTCTCTGATTTTATCCTGTTCCCTCTCACATTTGTTGCATTTGTACATTCTAGCAGTCCTGCCTGAAACAGATTCTTTCCATGGCTCTAGTGAAATCCTTTTCTCCCTTCAAGGCTTAGCTTGGGTCTTCCCACGTCTATGAAACCTTCTCTGATTTCCCAGTTATAAAAGTGATCGCTCTTCCCTAATCTCTCATCCAGTACCATTTGACTACTCTGTAACTTGAATTATTGTTATTTGTATACATGTCTTATCCTCTTACCAAATTACAAATTTCAGTTTATAGAGATTGTCATTTTTTACCTTTTTGTTTAATCAAATAAATATATTTAAGTATTATTTTTATTATGATTATTTTATATAGTTTATATCCATCTGCTAGATTTTAAACTCTTGTGGGAAGAATATAACTTTGCATACAGTAAGAGCTTAATAATTTTATTAAATTGACATTTGTGTCTTATCCCTTTACTAGATTACAAGTTCCGAGAGAGGGGAGCTATGTCATTATTTATCTTTATAACCCTAGCGCCTAGCACAGAGTACCTCTACACAACAGATGGTTAATAAATGTTTGTTTAATTGAAATGTGCATCCCCAACAGCAGAAGGGGGAAGGCTGGGGTGGAAATTCAGGTGGTATAGATATATGAGTCCATGACTGTTCTTATGCCAAAGTGATTCAGAGACTGCCTATATTAAACACCAAGAGACTTTACCATATATACTTTCATGGCATGTCGCTGGTCGTGTTACGCCCTACACAAAAAAATGTTCAGCTGTTACTGCCTAATCCACTAAAGTTTGCATTTCTTGGTCTGGTATATAAGGTCTCCACAATTTTCCACCCCCTGCTTTTCCACCTAATCTCATATTAACTCCCCTTCATGTTTTCTGTACTCCAGGCAAACTAGACTACTGTCTGCATCCTGACCATTTCCTACTCTTTCCTACATCCATGTCTTTTCTTACACTATTCCCTTGTATCTAGAATATACATCCTCCCCTTCTTTGACCTCTTGAATTTCTAGAATGATCTCTAAATATCCCTTGAAGCTATCCCATGAAATGCTACCGCTTCCACAAAGTCTTCCTAAATCTCCATAGACCTCATGTGACACTTTGTTTTGTAACTCTCTAATAAGTGTTTTATACATTATCATGTGTTAAATCTATGTGTCTGTACCTTATTCTTCTCTCTAGCTATAAATTCTGTGAGGACAAGGACAACTAAGCTACATTTTGTATCTCCCTGAGAACTTAATACAGTGTTCTGCACAGTATGACTTAACATGTTTGTTGAATGAATGAATGAATGAATGACATAGCAGTACATTAAGTGTTTATATGAATGGTTCAGCTACCAGTATGATCTCTTATAAGGGTTACAATCCCTTTCAACTCAGTTCACATATTTGGATGCTGCCTAATCCATGACCCTATAAGGTACCTCCATATTAGCTCTTACCAAATCTCCTTTTCGTATTGACTTTCTCATTTTCATTTCTTCTCTTGACTTCTGTCATTCTCTTATACCTTGTTATGACTCCTTTCCTATTAGTGACCTGGTCAGTGAGATATATTGGATAGAGCTGTGGAATCAGGAGACTTGGATTGGATTCCTCCTTTAGAAGCTGACTAGTTTAGTGATCATTGGCAAGTCCCTTACCTTCTTAGAGCCTCCATTTTCTCATCGGTAAAACAGGGATAACAGCACACATTTGAGTGAGGAAAAAGCACTTTACAAGCCTTAAAGTATCCTACAAATGTGAGTTAATGATTATATTCTTCCACCTACAGTCTTCCTGGTTCAAATGCTGATCTTATCCAAAACCCTTCAGCCAACCACTGGTTTTAGGGCTATATTTGAAGCTAACAGGATTTCAGTTAGAACAGTTGTGTATTTGCTAACTAACTTTCCTTGTTTCTGATAGAAAGCCCTATGTCTTTTTTCCTGAACTCATTCAAGTAAGCACATAGTTCCTTTAAAAAATACCATATTCCTTAAAAGTTGTCATTAATCTGGTTAAATTGCTTTCTGTAAATATGGGGGTAAATATTGAAATTGATGTGGAGTGGGGATTGTAAAGGTGGGAAACAATGGTAAGGATAATTGAAAACTTCTGTTTGGCTTTTCAATATGTGATTGTTTTTCCCCTCTTTTTTCTTTCTATCTCTTATCTTCCTTTCTCCATGGTTTTTCCTTTTCTTCTTCAATTCTCTTTCCCCCTATCTTTTCTCCTCTTTCCAATCCTGTTGTCTTATTTTATTTTCTCAGATTTATCCTCTCACCTTGTTTCTCTTCCTTTAGTTGCTGATTGTTCATTTCCTCTTCTTCCTTTCTCCTCCTCTTTTTGAGTTTGATGTAGTAGAAACAGCACAGGATTTGGAACCAAGAAGACCTAACTTTAAGTCCTGGTCCTGTCATTTATTAGTTGATTAGACTCTCTGTCAATCAACAAGCATTTATTTAGTGCTTTCTGTGGGCCAAAGCATTGCATTTCTTCATTTGTCAAATGAGATTGGGCCTAATTATCTTTTAGGTCCCTTCTAGTTCTAAATTGCTTGTTTTTCTTTCCTGTCACCTTCCCCTTCTCTCCAGCTTCATTTCTGTAATGGAGCAAACATTTAAAAACCTTCCTGTTTCTCAAAACAAACTCGGATCCTCACGCATTTGTTTGGAGATGGGAGAGAGGAGTACTTCCAACCTCCCTTTCTTAACCCTCTCAATTAAAAAAAAAATTCAAGGAATGTTGAGCTGTGTCGAAATAAAACATTGCTATTCTTTTGCCAATTTACAGTAAAAGGAGGAGGCCAGAAGCGGACTGAAGTGGAAGAGGGAAACCAGCCCCAGATTTTCACATTCAGCAGATACAGCCTACTGAGGGAATAGCCTTCTTAGAAATTGTCAAGTCACAGAACGTGGATTGATTGTAAACGTTTTGAACTGCAGCGTGTCATACTTGTTCATCTCTTTCAGGCTGGTGGAACAAGAGTGCCTGTTCCTGGCCAGAGGAATCCAATAACTGCGGAAGCAAAGAGCAGTAACCTGCCTGCGCAGCAAGTTGAAAAAGAAGGCGTGGTTCCAAAGAAGAGAAAGCAAAATAACCATAAGAAGTCAATATAGTGGAAAATGGCAATTCAGTGAGGACAGTCGTAGCAAATAAAGACGCTTCAGGGAAAAATATATCTAAGAGATATTTATTCCGGCAGTTGGAAGGACTACCAGAGATTTTCTGGAAAACAATCATCTCTTCACAATTGCTCAATGTGCCTCAGTACTCAGCAGGAATACATGCCAAAAGGCAGCTAATTTTTTTAAGTCACTAAATTTATTAAACCATAAAGCAAGAGAAGACCTTTTCATTCTATAGATATTATTCAAAGTGCTTTGACAAAAATAACTTTGGCCAATACATGTTGTAAAATAAGATGGAATTTTGTTCTCATAACCTTTGCAGTTAGGAAAGGTTTTCATCTTTGCCATTTTAAGATAATGAAATAAATGAGAAAAGTAATCAGGTTTTATCTGGAGATCTTCCTGAAAGAGTTTAAGTAGGAAAATATTTGCTTTACTCAGTATTTAACATCACTTGGAATAGTAGCATGATATAACAGAAGACCTGGATTTCCAGTCAGAGGATCTGGGTTTGTTACTTCCTCCTTATTTTGTGACCATTAGCAAATCACTTAGCTGTTCTCTTTTGTAAAATAGTAAGTTTGTATTTATCTCTTAAGGCCTTTTTAAGCTTTAAATCCTATAAATTTAGGAATATCATAAAGTATTTTGTTGTACACCTCTAAATTTTTCAAGTTAACCCTGGTAGGATAATGTCCTTCTAAAAAATATCTTTTACTATATTAGTGCCTGACCTGGGATATTGAACTAGATGGACCATGTTGTTAGGTCATTTTGTTGTTATTGTTGGGTATTTATTTTTTGCAAACTATGCTTTTCTCATAAATCAAAATGTGATCACCAATGTCAACACTTGGTAAAGTTTCACTGCTAAAATCAAGGAACACAGAACACCCTTCTTCACAAGTTACATTTTCTGACTGTAAAACCCCAAGTTTGTAAAAAAGAATGGAACATTTTCTGGTTCGACAGGTTTGGTGGCTTTAAAAATTCAGTCATGTTTTGGTCTTGATCCCCTTGTGATTTCAGAGAGATGTTCTGTTCATGTGTTATTTGTAAAGTTCAAAAACTATTGAGGGCTTTTTTGTTGATTGCAGTCATTTGTTGTGACATTGATTATCTGTGACCACTTTTTAAATTTGAAAGAGGGCAACAAATGGGACCAAACTGGACTCCATATAGAGCATGTTTACATGTTTTAATTTCTGTTACCTAAGGTATATTAAACTCATATTTTGGAGCACTTTTTTGTCATTTGTAAGATAAAAGTTTTGTATTCTAGTATGTTCACATTATATGTTTTGTTACACATTAAAAAATTCAACTAATCTTAGTTTTCATATAAACTGATTTCAATTTACAAAGCATTTCTAACTAACTTAAATAATTATTGATAAATTTGTTTTCGTAATGTATCATTTCCTCATCCTGTTAACAATGGAGCTATTGTTGAAAATTTTTTAAGCCTTTTTCATTCTGTGGTCACCCTCTAGAAATACTTCATTTGTGAGTCATATCAGTTAACTAAGGGTGGGGTTGGGAATCCTTTGGAATTTGGGCTTTGAGGCTAGCTATACAATGTTTCCTCAGTTATCTGAATAGCTAAAAAGATTGAGCTTTTCAGTTTTTTTAAAGATTTATTTATATGATAGAGTGACTATCCTCTAACATTACCACATTATGTTTAATAAAATTCTTAGGAGGCATGTATATTCTGAAAATAAATATTTTAAAATTGAACTATCTTAACTTTCTATATAACTAAATAGAGTCCTGAGTAGCCATCTAATAAATATACACAAAAAATTTTTGGTGTTACCTCTTGCTGAGCTAATGTATTGTGCACTCTAATTTTTTTTCCATCTGGCCTTGATTGATCCCATATTAAGCTGTATATTTCTTTTTTGATAGTCAAATGCTTACATATGCAGCTCCTATTAGATTATAAAACCCCTTGGCATCAGGGACTAATGAGTTTTTGCTGTTTTTATTTTAGTTTAAAATTTGTGTATTTTTGTTACTGAATACCGTACATAGTAGCAGCTTAACATATTGAATTGAAAATTGAATGTAAATGAATGGGAAATTTTTTCCTGTAATTTCTTAGGCAGATTATAGAATTATCATTTCAAAATGTTGTACTTTCAAATATGTTTGAATAAATTTTTTTTTATTTTTTCAGAAATTGGTTAGGACATGAGCAGTGATTTTAAAGTCAATATTTAATAGTACATCTAAAGATTTTGAAACTAATTTGAAATTACAAGTCTGTGTTTTGTCTTCTTAAAAACAGACACTATATCCGTTGACTATGGTAAAGTGTTTAATATTTCTAAGATTACTTATGTTTGTGCCTTAAAGCAGATTGTGAAATCTGCATACTGACAAAATTCCATCATTTCAATTCAGATGAACAAATGTGGCTAAGCACTTTCTACGTGCAAGGCATGGGGATTCAGAGGTGAAAAATGACAGTCTTACTCTCAAGAACTTTCAGTCTAACAGGAAGTTTATAAGGAAGCTCATAGACAAATATTTATGGGGTGTCCCAAGAGTCTTAGTGCAGTTTTAATCCATTAAACTTTAAAACTGCTCTAAGACTTTTAGGACACCCTGTATCATACAAAGTAGTTAAAGGAGCACTGGATTTGGAATTAAGAATCACATTCAAATCCTGCTTCTGCTTTGGATTACCGACACAACCTCAAGCAAGTTACATAATTTTCCTGGGCCTGTTTTGTCATCTGTCAGAGGATGTCAGATCTCCTCTAGACCAAGAGAGCCAGGGAAAGTACAGAGTCAGGAGCATCATGATGGAGTAGGACACAGTTGAGTTAGGACTCGAAGGAAGGAATGTACAACTGGAAATCCCATAATAAAGGATGGCATGAGAAATGGGAAATTAGAATAGTGCAATTTGGTTGGAATGTAGAATATATAAAGAGAAGTGGTAAGGGGATTAAGACTGTCTGGAAAGGTAAGTTGGCACCAGATTTTCATTTGCCCTGAAAGTGTATTTTGGTAGGCATTGGGGAGGACACTGGGTTTTTGAATGGAAGTGAGACATGTGACAGAGAGGAAAGGAAGAACACACACTGAGTGCTTATTGTGTGCCAAGCACTGGGGGTACAAATAGAAAAGCAAGACCATGCTTTCAAGGAGTTCACGTTGTAATGGGAGGACAACACATAGAAGCTTTTAGCTGCAACTCAGATGGAAAGCTCTCATGGTCCTTAGAGTACAGCAGCTTAGCAGGTGGAAAGGTCATAAAAGACCTTTCCACTGATAAAATTATTATTTTCTGGTGTTGGATCATTTGACAGTGCCAAGGACTTTGGTGGCAAAAGCTTTTATTTCTGTGTCTTTGATAGATGTGACTGTAAGTTAATATAGGCACAGCTGAAAGACTGCAGCTCTGAAGGGTTTGTCTTTCCAGGATGATGGCTGTAGGCAGTGGGCTGGAAGCACTGTTACTCCCAAGATTCTTGCGTTTATTGGGGTCTGAGGGTAGATGGCTTTCAAAGTGATGGTTTGGGTTTGACTTGCCTGGCTTCACTTGACGATGGCTGTGAAGGCTGGGCTGGAAGTTGGGCCAGTAATTTAGGGGATGTTGCCATGTTGAGAGGCTTTGGGTCCATATGCCTATTTGTGGGATGTGGCCAAGAGAAAGACAGACCCACAATACTCCCTCTCTGTGGAGTATGGTTTGAAGAGGAGATAGAAAAACCAGAGGTAAGAAGATTTATCAGGAATCTCTTAAAATAGATGAGAAGAGATGTAGGCATTTGAGCTACAGTGTTTGCAGTAGGACTGGAAATGACAGACCAGATGTAAGAAAAGGTAGAAATAGCAGAACTTAGTAAAAAAAAAAAAAGTACCTGATCATATGTGTAGGACAAAAAGGGAAGAATAAAAGATAATTCCAACATTGTATTCATGTGTGTGTATGTTTGGTTCAGACCTGAAACTTAATTTTGTGGGGAACTCCTAGCTTGGAAACCTTCACCAGTGTAGATTGTTAACTTGTCTATGACTTAGAGTTGCCCAAGGGATAGAAAGGTTGTGACTTACTTGCCTAAGGCCACACAGTACCTAGGTCTTCCAACTTCAAGGCCAGGCCCCTGCCATACCGCCTCTAACTGATGCTAACGTTATTAGTGTTGAGAACTATTAAGAATGGTGATTCAGAAATTAGGTAAGGAGTGGCTTTATGGGAGGAAGCTGATTTCAGTTTTAAACAAAGTGAGTTGGCACCAGTGGGTCATAAAGGTAGAATAGATATCCAGTGAACAATTTGAAATAGAAGATTGGCACTTTCGGAAAAAATGTAGCAAAAGATTTGGGAACTGGAGAGGCATCTGTACTAAAGGGATCACTGGAGCCATGGAAGAGAAAGCCAAGAACTTCTTATAGAACCTTGGGGAACACTCATATTTTAGGGGGAGGAAAAATTATATGCAATAGTTCATAGAGCATTAAATATAAAATAATAACAGGATAGTGACTTGTCTCAGGATTTTTCCTATCTGAACCCCATTGAAAAAATTAGAATGAGATTAAAATAATAGTAATCATGTACTATACTATAAATATATAAAATAGAACAAAGTACAGTGAGAATATTAGAGATTGTGATGTACTCATGGAAAGCTTTCTCCATTTACAATATGCTCCTCACCTAAAATCCAAAAATCTTTTCTGTGCAAACTGCTTATTTACCTATGAAATAAGAAAAAAGTTCTTTAACATGATATTTAAGGTGCTCCACAGTCTGGCAACGCCCTGCTTTTCCTGCCTGCTTTTAGAGAACTTCTCTTCACGTCTGCCCCGTGAGCACAGCATTCTATCTCTTGTGTTTATGCTTTGGCACTGGCTGTCCCTTATTCCTGGAATGCTCTTTTCTGCCCCTTGGGATCCCTAGCTTCCTTTAAATGCCAGTTCAAATACCCTTTGGAAGGGTGGAATGGAAATTGGAAGCCTTTTCCAATTCCCCTCAGCTACTGGTATCCAGTGAGCCCACCATGCCATGACCATGGGCAATCCTCTACAGCTTTCAGTTGCTCAGGTCTAGATGTGCATCTGCAGAGGCAGGGTATCTGTAGGAGTATCCTCCCCTGAGAGTTCTTAAACGAATGAAATCAGGTCCAGTCTATCACCAACACCTGGCTCAGAGCCTGGCATGGAGAAGATGCTTTAAAATGCTTGTTGATTGATATTTCCTACAGTCCTGCCAAACGTGACTACTCACTGACCACTCCCAAAGTTTGTCCTGCTTTTTTCCTTTTTATGTTTTTTTTTACACAGTGTTCTCTGTGCCTGGGACAGAGTCTCTCATCTCTGCCTGTTGACATCTCAACTCCTGTGGACTAGTTCAGGTGCCATCTCCTTCATGAATCATACCCTTACTTCCTTACCCAGAAGCGATACCTGACTCCTTGAATCTGTCTATTCTGACCTATTCACTGATCATTTTCTAAATTTTAGTCATTCCTTTATGTCTAATTCTCTACCAACCACCCACACTACTAAGTTGTAAGCTCCCTGAGAGCAGAGTTTGTTTCATCTCTTCATCTTTCCAAAGTCTAGCATCTATGAGGTGCTTAATAAATAGGAGTGTGTGTGACATAGTGTGACATAGAGCAAAGTGCCCACCTTGAAAACAGGAAGGGCCACATTTCAAGTCTCATCTCTGACACATGTGATCCTGGGCAAATTACTTAACCTGTCAGTGCTCTAGGCAACTCTTGAAGACTGTTAAGTTGCAGAAAAACTTAACTAACAGAAGACTGTTAAGTTGCAGAAAAACTTAACTAACAGAAGACTGTTAAGTTGCAGAAAAA